TTTTTTTTTTTTTTGGATAAAATGTGAATTTTATTATCTAATATAACTATTTGTACTATAAAGCAACTAATAAGCTACTACAAAGCAAAGAAAACTGTCAAAAAGAATGATAAGACTGTACAAACAATACACATGTTAGTGTCTCATAGCAGTCTCAAGTCCCCATTTGCATGCAATAGCCATGGGTAGAGGAGAAAAGTTTGGCCAAGCAAACCCCAGAATCTTGCTCCTTACCTCAAACTGAATGTCTTGAATAATCGTGCTTTCCACTCTAAAAAGCTGTTGGTGAAACCTTCTGTTTCTTTCTAACCATGTGTGGTAGATGGCCACATTCCAAGCTAACTTAACTAGCAGATTGTGTAAAGACTTCCGAGTTTTTTACCCATCCATTGTAGTAAACCTTGCCAAGAGTCAACAAATGGGATACCGAGCATAGAGCTAAGCTGTTGCCATATTCTTCTTGTGTAGCTACATTTAAAAAAGAGGTGCCCATTTGTTTCTGGACTGCCATTGCAAAGGATGCAAGCATAAGAAATCATGGGGTTCCATTGATTCTGCCTTGCCCTTGTAGTTAGTTGATTAGGCACAGCTAGCCAACTTTAGAAGCTATGCTTAGGAATAGCTTGGGAAAACCAAACCAGTCGATACCATATGCTCCTGTCTTGTCTCCTTAACCAGTGCCAAATCTGTCCAATCTTGAAGCTACCAGATGTAGAAGGCACCCAAACTATAGTATCCTTTTCTCCTTGAGGATAGATATTAAAGAGATGCATTTGTATTTGTACCATTTAGGGAGACATGGCAAGAGACCATTGCCAAAAATTCCCATTGATTACACTAGCCAACTTTGCCTATTAAGGAAGTCCTACTTCTTGAATAATGGAACTTTCATGAACCTCTAGCAATGGACTAGATGGATGCCGAAAATCGTGCCAAACATATATATTAATGCCATCTCCTGGGACATGCTAGATAAGTCGTCTAGCTAGCTGCCATAGATTTAAAATTTTCCTCCACCCCAGGATGCATCAACTAGTAGGTTAACAGTGCAGAAACTCCTGCCCCTAAGTAAGTACTCATGAACCCATGCTACCCAAATAGACCCTGCTTTTGAGAACAGCAACCAAATGAATTTAAGAATACGTGCCTAGTTCCATTGCACTAGATTCTTAAGCCTAGCCCACCCTCCTGCTTTGGGGAACAAACTGTATTCCAATTTACTTTAGCCCCTCTAGCTGTGAGAACAGAATTTTACCATAGGAAAGCACTACCTACAGATCCTCTCCACTTCCTTTATGATTGCCTTGGGTAAAATAAAAATAGAGCACCAGAAGTTGATAATGCCTTGTATAACAAAGCTGATCAGTTGCAATCTCCCAGCAAAAGAGAGGTACTTTGCTGACCAAGAAATCATCATTTATGTTATCTTAGAAACCCAGGGCTTTAGGTCCTTTTGAGTCAATTTTGTTGAGGGCGATTATGCTGCGCCCAAGTTCACATTAGGATTGTGAAATCAGTTGTTCATGTTACATGGTGATTTTGCCATGTGAGAACAAATTGCCACAGAGAATGGTGTGTTGGCAGTAGAGTTGCGAGTCAACAAATGGAGGGAAATTTGTGAAAAAAGAAAAGGCCTAAAACCCTTATTGTCTATTAGATATTAGAGTCAAGATCAATTTACAATAAATAACTTACACCCATCAATATTTTCCTATATAATTTGTATTTTATCAAACCAATTGTAAGATTTAACATTCTATTTATGTAAATTATGCATATAAAATTT